CATATCTATGGTCTCCTTATGCACGTCCAACGATTTTGAGGTACGCTAAAATTTGGGGGGGCTACGCTCAATTGTCCATTTTTAGCAAAATCACACGGAAAGCTCATTTTGAGGGACTGTAAATTTTAAAAAATGCCTTTAATTCTTTAAAATTGGGCATCAAGCACATCACCTGGGTCATTAATTTAAGATCCTAAAAGATCTTTGGACTAAACTCAAAATTCAAGGGATTACGAGGCCCAAAAGTAGGGCACTTTGCTCCGCGACATTCCACAAACAACTCATTTTCAAAGACTGTAAATTTGAAAAAAAATGCCTTTCATTTCTTCGAAAGTTGGCATAAGAGCACCACCTGGTTCAATAATGTAAGTTCCTATGAGGTCTTTGGACTAAACTAAAAATTGAAGGGTTGCGCGTCATATAGCGAGGAGAGCACTTCGGTCACACGGAGAGCTCATGGACTGTAGATTTTGAAAAAAATGCCTTTAATTCTTTGAAAGTTGGCTCAAAAGCACCATCTGAGTCATTAATTTAAGTTCCTAAAGGATTCTTGGACTAATCTCATAATTGCAGAGGGGCCGATAGGAGACGCTCAATTCTCTGATAAATGAGTCGGAACGCTTCTAGATAATAGCAGCAAACGCTTTGAGTCAGGTGAAACCTAGGAATTCAAATGCATTATATAATGCATCATATACTATTTCCAAAATTACTCCGTAGGTATACACAAAGCAAAATTAGACAACTAATTAGGTACATACTCACATTACAAAGGTACAATGAATCATCAAGCTAACGCCAAGAACTGACACTTAGATCTTTATTAAAAACTAATATGTTTGTTGTTAATGAATTTAGAATCCCGGCAGATTCCATCTTTTGCGGTTCCTTTTTACGAGGTACTAAGCACAAATATAATATAATAATTCGGCACAACACAAATATGACTGATTTAATGCTTGTTAAAAAGGAGGTTATAATTGTTATAACCTGTTTGTTGGCGTTTATCGACAGCAGCAAGGAGATCGCGCGCAGCGCTCTCTATTGTTTTCGCTTTGAATTACGGGAATACGCGGTAAGGAGATGGCGCTCCTGGCGGGCAAGTGGTGAACCTTCCAGCAGGTAGATTCGCCCGCCAAATTTAAAATTTGGGAGATGCTAAGCGAAAACCGTTTAGTTTTAAGACTATTTGAACATCGAATAGTCATTCTACCCATTCAAGTAGATATTTGATGGCTTTTGACCGTGCTTAAGGAGAGATTATAATATAAAATCGTATCTGAAGTATGATGTCAATGAATCTAATGGATCCTAATGAATCGTAGAAAAGCTAAGATTTTTACGGATCGCCATCTTTGACAGGAGACTTTGTTAATCAATTACATATTTAATTGAAGATGCCTCATAAAATCAACAAGTCGAGTCCGAATATATGAATTCATCACATATCGCGAAGACATTTACAATAAAGTTCAGTGGTTTGAATAAAAATTTAATAACTATTATCCTGTGATCAAAATTCCGATCAAACTTTATGATTTTGTAAAATTGGCAGTATTTTTCTAAATATTCCAGTAAAAGTGTCTACGCCGGCGCGAAGCGCCGGCTCGAGCGAGAAAGTCCCGTGCGGTCTCCGCACCAATCCGCTAAGCGGATGGGGGGGCGAAGCCCCCCAAATGCCGGCGCGTAGCGCCGGTACGCGGCGCGAAGCGCCGCGCATAAATTGGCCGGAGGCCAATTTTTTTTCATTTTTGTCGCAATTTGAGCGAGAAATTCAAATTTTTTAAATTTTTCGAATTTCGTCAGTTGGGGGTACTGAAAAAGTACTGAATTTCCCCGATGAGGAGGCACTGAATTTCTCTGGAATGTACTCATTTTTGGCCAGCCTGTTTTGGCAGACACCCTGAGTGTAAGGGGGAGACAGGGCCAACAAAGTGAAAAAGTGCGTTCCATAATACTTCAACGCCCCCAAATAGTCAACAAATATTCTAGAGCAGCTCCTGATTTTCTTATTAGGTCCACTCGAAGTTGGAAAGCGGAGGATTTGGAATCTGAGCGATGGGACCTGTTAGCGGCGCAGGCTGCATGGCTCGGGGCCCTCGCGCTTCTACCTGGGCCCATGGCCTCATGGCTCATCGCGCACCGCTCGCTTGGTAATTGTTGATGATCAGCTATTAGTTGGCATTAACCGACGTGCCAAGCACCGCGGCCCTCAGCGGCACCGACGCGTCACTCGGAGGCCGGTGGCCGTGCTCCGACTCCGATTGACAGCAGATCAATAAATTATCACGAAAAGGAAAGAAAAGAAAAATTGATCGACCGAAAAAAGATCGTTTGTTGCCTAATCGACGGTGGCAGACCAATCATATCGTTCCGAGTGTAGCTCGAAATTGAAACGAGTATTTTCCGAGCGCCGCAAACACAACCTTGAGAAAAACGAGGAAAACCGTATTATCCGATCGTTACTGGTCTGTTAGACTGATATCTTTTTTGAAGCCTTGAAAATGTACCTTAACGTCACTCTGCAGTAGAGTAGTGTAGTAGTGTAGAGTTGAGCAGAGTGTAGTGTAGAGGAATAACAATCCATTCGGGTAAAATTATACATAATGCACGAATGTCCAAAAGTGCAAACCCTAAAAGCGCAAATGAAGCGGCCTTCGAGATAGTATTACATGCGACAAATGCCGAACAAATTTTATTATAACGCCTGGATGCAACTATTCGAACTCTGCGGATGTTCGTGTTGTATACACACTGAAGTGAAGGCGTTTTGACGCACCACGCACTCACCACACCAAGGCAGCGCTGTTGCATCGGCGTGCCGCCCGCGAAAGGAGCGGTGACTGCCAATGAGTCAAAACCGCCTGTACTTCCTCGCGTATGCACCACGGACATCCTCAGAGCCCGAATAGTTGCACCCAGGCGTTGCTTATTGTTTCGATGAAGTAATCTATTACTGATTTTCATCGCGAAGAAATCGTCAACATTTGTTTTTGCGGATGAGGTATACGAATTCGAGTTAAGAGTTTACATCAATCCAGAGTCAGGTCAGGTCAGAACCCAGCGAGGCAGGACTCACAGCTTTTAGAAAAAGTGTTTTCCGTGACTCATCGCTTCAGACTCATTGAATTGGAGCATCAGTACACCGGGTTCATGAAAAACGCATCGATGACAAATGTTTAAAAAAAGCCTGCCTAAAGTTCCTAGTATAAAATCGTAGGTAAGGCGGTGACGAACTCGTATATTTGTTTCTTCTTATTTGTTCCTTCATTTAGGTATATACTCTTTTTCGCATGAATCCTCATTTTTGAGAAAAAAAATTTGAGCAGAAAATAGAATAAATATAATCGCAAAGTGAAATGAGAATAGGGATTGCAGGACGTTAGCCACTCTCCTCTATGTGGAAAAAAGGTATTCATAAAGTCTCCCATCCGTGCATTTTTGCGGTCTCATTGACTCTCCAATCTGACAACATTTTGTAATTTCCCCGAATTTCGGGGCAAATTCGTGGTCCTTCAGTGAAGTGAGCGTTCGGTTCATCTTCTAATTTTACTTTATGAGGGAATAAATCACAACTCGGTAACAGTTCGTGTTTGATGCCGTGATCGCATTGTCAGATTTAGGGTGCACATCCATCAAACATAATGGAACAGTAATAATTGCGTTACCTCTTTTAATAACGGGTGCTCCCTCTCTTACAAATCCTCCGTCTCCTGCTCTTGTTCTCCTACGACGATACTTCAATATTTTTCCTCTTCGCTCGATAGAACCAATCGCGTGAGAAACGTGAAGGAAAACAAAGTCCGTCTAGACATAACAAGAAATTTTAGTCTAGGATAGAAAGACAAGAACATGATGTTAATAAACTGATTATCTGTGTCCATACGTCATTCGATATTCGATACATTCGATAGTTCCGTCCTGAACGAATGGACTGTTTTGATATCGATTGTTTTCCCGCGCTTTTTAATTTCGGCACTATTTAATGGCGATATATCGAATGACATCGCCACTAAATCAGCCATTGGGCGGGAGTGAGTGGAGAGAACTTGCCCTTTGATCACAGGCGCTTTGCCGTAGAAGGGCTCGATTTTCTTCCTTTTTCAGAAAATCTTTCATCAGCTTTATGAGCAAAGTCTTGTAATGTCTATGACGTGTTACTTTGTCTGATTCTATGAAATTTAGCCGAACACTTAACGGCCAACAGATAGTACGAAATTGTTTCAAGAAGTTCCGCTTTTTGGACGCCTGATCCCGCGTGGATGATTCTCATGCCCTCTAGGATCTCCTGAATTTTTTTTTAGCTCAGATTTGAAGAGCAGATGTGCGACGTGCCACCTAGTATTAACTGTTTCGAAGCAAATAATATACAGTTAGTTCAAATTTACACAATTAAGAACTTGCATGCAGGAAAACACTCCGAAATCAAATGAGCATATACATTGAATGAACAACAATCCTTCTACTTTGGCTTGTTACTACTCCACGTACACTATCCTCGAAAATGCCTTTCAAATGAGTAGCTGGTTCCAGTGAACCGAATTTGTGAGTAATCGCAAATTTTATGTACCTACTCATTCCCCTATCTTATTCCATTTTGAAAGCGTTACTTTTTTTCGTTCACCGCTCGCCGATATTTGTACGTTTTTCGCATTCCTTACGCTTGGTTTTCCTGAAAAATGCTGAACCTGTTTTTTAACCATGAACCTTGTCCGGTGACAAATGTTTCCCCAGATCACGAAAATGACTCATCAATCTTCCGACTTTCTCTGTGTGATGCTTTCTGGCCGATTGCCGAAGAAAGAAGTGTAATATAATCTCGATCTTTTGCTCACTTCGTCACTTTCCGATAAAAAAGATCAACGTAGTTCCCGCCGTTTGCGTCTACCGTTTTGGCGGAGGTCCAGCTCGTTTATGAATCTCTCATCTACTATCTCCTTCATTTGTTTGATCCTCTCTGTAACTGAATGCTAATTTTTTTATTTTTTCTCTGATTTCAGACTTGGTTCTTCACCGACGCTGATGACGAACATTTTCAAAAAGAAACAAGTAAGCAACCTTTCACACGGTTTTCTTTTCTTTTTAATTCATAATGCCCCCACTATAGCCCCATCTCCTCTCCCTAATGAAATGCATCCCACGGGCAGGGTGTCTACAAGTCCGGAATTTCCGGAAAGGCCAGAAATAGCAGTGATTTTTTAAGGGCGGTCCGGAACTACTGTAAAAGTGCGGACATTCCGCCCGAGGATCCGGAATTTTTTTAAAAAATTTTGTAATTTTTGTTGCAAATTCAAATTTTTGAAATTTTTCTAATTTCCTCAAATGAAGGTACTGAAAAAGTACGGAATTTTTCTGTTGGAGGAGGTACTGAATTTCTCGAGAATGCACTGAAAAATTACTGTAAAAGTACTTTTTTTTGACCAGCCTGTTTTAGTAGACACCCTGCACGGGACTTATTTTATAATTCAAGGGCAGTGCCTTCTAAAAAAAGGATATACATTTCAACGTGCTGCCGTACAGAATCTTTTGGTAGTTTCAGAACTTAAGCACTATTACCAATTGTTAAAAATGTATAAATATTTTTGCCATTAAAAACAACCCATCTAACCTTGTTAAAAAATGTCTATCATTGAATCTCAAGTGATACTAGGGGCTAATGTACACTATCCTTGTACCCCTTCTCTTCTTTTAACGAACGTGACCTAAGAATCGCCTCCCTTCGCCCCATTCCTATCCAAATGAATGAATGAATAAATAAATAAATAAATAAGTAAATACGTGAATAAATAAGTAAATGAAAAAAGATTTTACAAAATTTCTCGAATGTAAATAGTTACGTGACGTATTCCCCCTTCCCCTTCCCCTGGGCGGAATACTTTGAAACGCAGAATGAAAATCAAGCCCCCAGCTCTTCAAAGCTATTCCCCTTTCCTAACTCGAGCTTGCTCTTTACGTCCCAACTCCCGATTGATTTCAATTTCAAATAATTCTCCTCGAATGGATCTTTTTAAAATCACTGATTCCCAAGCTTTTAGTCCCATTTGAAATAATTGCATTGATACCCTCCCGATTCGGCAACCTTGCCGACCACGTCATGAAACATGTCCGTAGTTGAAGACTGTCAATCGTCGAATGTCTCATTTTCAATCGTCTCCTCGCATCCGATTATTAACTCAACATGGTTGCCAGACCACCCGAATTTTATTTACAAATACTCACCCGCATTTTTACGAATTTTCTCGTATTTTGCCGAATGGGATGGTAATCCCAAAGGGGATAATTAATTTCTATGGGGTATTTTTGGTGACGAACAGCGGGAATCGAAGTTTGGAGTGTATAAATCGTGTTTTTAATGGCAACGAGACAACACTGGGAGGCTTGGTGGTCGATGGCAGACTGGTTTTTCGCTCTCATCTTGTCTCAATTGGACGAGTCGATCCAAAAAATGCCTTCACGGCCGCGACCGGCGCACTATCCCAGCGACCGCTTTCCCATCGCTCCGGACTGCCTTTTTCTGGAAATTCATTTAAAATTGAAATCATTCGGGAGCTGGGAAATAAATAGCGAGCACACTTACTGCGCGGTTGCACGGTGCGTGTGTGTATTTACGTGTGGTGGCAGGTGGTCCCTCAAGCCCTCGGCCTCGCCCTATCGCCGCTCTCCTCTCGAGAACTTGAATCGCTCTATGTTCAAACCTAACATACCCATTAGCTGATGAGCCACAGAATGTAAATGTCCTTATGGATTTCACGGTTCATGAGGCAACAGACTTGTTGGGTTTTAACATCTGCTTACTTTCAGCATCGATGAAGCGCTTTGGAGAAATGTGTCTTCATGGTTAGACTAGACGACTTTTTGTGAACGATTTTGACTGAGTTTCCCTGATAAAAATTGGCAATAGGAGCTGCGTTTCAAAATACCATAGGAGTTCTTATAGCCGACTGAAGAGGCCGATAGAAAATCATATAGCTGGCTGCAGAAAGTGGAAAAAATTGGCCTCCGGCCAATTTATGCGCGGCGCTTCGCGCCGCGTACCGGCGCTACGCGCCGGCATTTGGGGGGCTTCGCCCCCCCATCCGCTTAGCGGATTGGTGCGGAGACCGCACGGGACTTTCTCGCTCGAGCCGGCGCTTCGCGCCGGCGTAGACACTTTTACTGGAATATTTAGAAAAATACTGCCAATTTTACAAAATCATAAAGTTTGATCGGAATTTTGATCACAGGATAATAGTTATTAAATTTTTATTCAAACCACTGAACTTTATTGTAAATGTCTTCGCGATATGTGATGAATTCATATATTCGGACTCGACTTGTTGATTTTATGAGGCATCTTCAATTAAATATGTAATTGATTAACAAAGTCTCCTGTCAAAGATGGCGATCCGTAAAAATCTTAGCTTTTCTACGATTCATTAGGATCCATTAGATTCATTGACATCATACTTCAGATACGATTTTATATTATAATCTCTCCTTAAGCACGGTCAAAAGCCATCAAATATCTACTTGAATGGGTAGAATGACTATTCGATGTTCAAATAGTCTTAAAACTAAACGGTTTTCGCTTAGCATCTCCCAAATTTTAAATTTGGCGGGCGAATCTACCTGCTGGAAGGTTCACCACTTGCCCGCCAGGAGCGCCATCTCCTTACCGCGTATTCCCGTAATTCAAAGCGAAAACAATAGAGAGCGCTGCGCGCGATCTCCTTGCTGCTGTCGATAAACGCCAACAAACAGGTTATAACAATTATAACCTCCTTTTTAACAAGCATTAAATCAGTCATATTTGTGTTGTGCCGAATTATTATATTATATTTGTGCTTAGTACCTCGTAAAAAGGAACCGCAAAAGATGGAATCTGCCGGGATTCTAAATTCATTAACAACAAACATATTAGTTTTTAATAAAGATCTAAGTGTCAGTTCTTGGCGTTAGCTTGATGATTCATTGTACCTTTGTAATGTGAGTATGTACCTAATTAGTTGTCTAATTTTGCTTTGTGTATACCTACGGAGTAATTTTGGAAATAGTATATGATGCATTATATAATGCATTTGAATTCCTAGGTTTCACCTGACTCAAAGCGTTTGCTGCTATTATCTAGAAGCGTTCCGACTCATTTATCAGAGAATTGAGCGTCTCCTATCGGCCCCTCTGCAATTATGAGATTAGTCCAAGAATCCTTTAGGAACTTAAATTAATGACTCAGATGGTGCTTTTGAGCCAACTTTCAAAGAATTAAAGGCATTTTTTTCAAAATCTACAGTCCATGAGCTCTCCGTGTGACCGAAGTGCTCTCCTCGCTATATGACGCGCAACCCTTCAATTTTTAGTTTAGTCCAAAGACCTCATAGGAACTTACATTATTGAACCAGGTGGTGCTCTTATGCCAACTTTCGAAGAAATGAAAGGCATTTTTTTTCAAATTTACAGTCTTTGAAAATGAGTTGTTTGTGGAATGTCGCGGAGCAAAGTGCCCTACTTTTGGGCCTCGTAATCCCTTGAATTTTGAGTTTAGTCCAAAGATCTTTTAGGATCTTAAATTAATGACCCAGGTGATGTGCTTGATGCCCAATTTTAAAGAATTAAAGGCATTTTTTAAAATTTACAGTCCCTCAAAATGAGCTTTCCGTGTGATTTTGCTAAAAATGGACAATTGAGCGTAGCCCCCCCAAATTTTAGCGTACCTCAAAATCGTTGGACGTGCATAAGGAGACCATAGATATGGTGTCCTGTGCCAATTTTGAATGAAATCGAACAGATAGATTCTGAGATATCGCTGTACACAGATTTGGGGGACGCCACACGGACGGACACACATTTTTTCAAGTATGGTTATTTTTACTCCTGGGACCTTCAAACGTCTAGAAATGATGAAATTTCAACTTTTTTTTTTTTTTTTTCTTGGAGGATGACAATACTTCCTCTCTACCCTATGGGAGCGAGAAAGTAAAAATCTTACGGCCGGGCTACACGAAGCGATAAAAAATTAAACAGCCGGGCTATAGTTCCTGTCGCCGGGCTTTACATTTTATCGCCTGGCTGTTGCTTTTTCGCCATCGGCTATAAAAGGCGATAAGGAATTGTGTAGAAATTCGTATGATTTGTAAATCCGAAGTTTGCACGGAGTCACCATAATATTTACAAAACGCTCACTATATTTTCCTTTACTACATATTTGTTTTTATCAATTAAAATGAGAATAATCCATACAGAGTGTGCAAACATTTCAAAGTCATGAGTTGAACAACGCTGACTCCACGAGATTAAGTATTAGAGCCTAACACAAAGCGGAGCGGCGGCGCTCTGGCGCCTACAAACCTAACAGGGATACTTCACACACTGCGCAATGCGTGAAGTATCCCTGTTAGGTTTGTAGGCGCCAATGCGCGGTTCGCGCTGGCTGCCCACCCGCCGCGCTGCGTCGCAGCGTACCACGGCGCTTGAAGCAACCATATTTCACACCAAAGGTGAGGTTTCACAGTATCGGACGAAATTGAAGGCGCTCCAACATATTAGGAATGGCAGGCATCCTTCAAAAGTACTGAGCTTCCCTCGCAAAATAAATCAAGATACTACGGCCCAAAAAGAGAGCGGTAGTCCAAAAACTCACTAACAATAAGTCCTAGCATCCGTAATTAGTAACGGAAAGCATACACTTTATCGTCAGGCTGTTGCTTCATCGCCATCGGCTATAAAAGGCTATTAGAAATTGTGTTGACGGCTACAGAAGCTATTGGAAATCTTACAGTCGGCTGTAGGTCTATGGTATTTTGGAACACAGATTCTACTGCCAATTTTTACCAGGGTTATCAGAATGGAACCAACCCACTTTTTCGAAAAAATGTAGTTAAGAATGATTTTGAGTTCCACTAACCGTATATTTTCTCCCGCCAAAAACTGAGAGTCGAAGAAACAAATTTTCTTGTGAAGAGAGGGGCTAAAGTTTATTTTCTACATTGCTTATTCAGGTTTAAAACTTCAAACCTCTTTTTCTCAGTTTCAGCTTGATGTGGGTTGGTTCCTTGAACCAATGAGTGGCGAAG